ATATATATATATATATATGTGTGTGTGTGTGTGTGTGTTTATATATAATGTGTGTGTGTGTGTTTATATATATAAATATTTACAGATAGTGCAAATATAAGGTCAAACTTAAAATATAGAATAAAATGAAGGCTCAATGACAAAGTCAGCAGAACTTAAATAAAATACATTATGATAATATTATTAAACACGATATCAAAATGTGCTACTATTTCATATGATAACACAATCAATATATACGAGGCACATATGAAAATAAAAACATTCCTATAACTATAGATACATACATAAAACAATCCAAACATTCAGTTAAAAGTAAAAATAATGGGTAAAAGTAGAGCCGAAAGCGCTGGGTCATATTGAACATTCGGATAATTTCTATACAATTTATGTCCAGAAAAGAAAATATATATATATATATATATATATATATATATATATATATATATATATATATATATATATATACAAAAGGTAACTTATCTTAACCTATGCGTTTCGCCATCTGATCAAGGGAAATATATGGATTTTATTTTGCAACATATTTATAAACGAAAGTAAAATGTTGGTTTTTCAAATTTTTAATTTTGGTAACGCTCATGAATGTTTATCAGACTAACTAAAAAGTCTATGTAAATTATAAAAGTTGCTAGTTGACAAAATTCAATATCTAATAGGCAAAAGTGTGTAAATGATCTTGCTTGACTGTCTTTTTATAATGTAATTAATATATATATATATATATATATAGAGAGAGAGAGAGATAGATAGATATTTAGTTTGGGATCAATGTTTATGTATTCTATATTTTAAATGAAATGAGATTATGAATTTAACCGTTTTCATTTAATTTTTTAACATTTTTATAATCATGTAATGTTGACTTGAGAATGAGGCAAATCTTTCAGGAAAGGAGATTTCTGAAAAAAAAATCCGCGAACCGAGATTTATATTTTGATAAAATTCGATAGCTGCACGCTTGATAATTTTCCGTTTAAGTTACTTGAGCTTTTAACAAGCGTGGCATTCTTTATATCAAAGTTTTGGTTTAATTTATTTCTATATATAAGTAATGCATTTGATGAATTGTTTATAAAATGCTTTTTGTGTTCATCTTTTATTTCATTTTTTATTTTTACAGCAAGGTTCACACTGTACAAGGCCCGGAGGCCACTCAAGGTAGAGGATTACGATAAGGTGTAGTTTATATGGATAGGAAGAGAAGACAACAGTTGACTTGAGACTTGAACTGGTTAAAAATATAGTGATCGGGAAAGCATCCTCGAGGGAGTCTGTTCCATAGGGCAGTGGTTCACGGAAAGAATAGATATGATTTTTAAAATTTCTGCAACATTCCCCCATTGTATTGTGAGGAGTTGTTGTAGTAGTTTCTTTTATGCATATCTGCTTAGAATGATTAAAGTTATGGGTACACAGGGAAAGAGAGAGAGAGAGAAAGAGAGAGAGAGAAGATTGTCACTATGTGGTATAGGTCCCTATGTTCACTCTCTTACCATACACACACGCACCCCACATATATATATATATATATATATATATATATATATATATATATATATATATATCTGTGCGTATGCACATTTCATTGAATACGGTAGACAAGGTGCTTTTATTTATTTTTTTTATCAATTTCTCATGCGATCTAATAATTTTTTTTCATTTTCAGATGATAAATTATATAAAAACTGTCCGAATTTTCTTTTTATCCGAGCGCTTTCCGCTATACATTTGGACATTTTTAAGGTCGAAATATATTAACTGTTAACAAGAAATAGTTTGTTACATGTATATTTATATAATGATTTCATTTTTCAAAACACGGTCAAGATATTGTGTCCATGTTCATAGTTGATATTAATGTGTTGGTTTTTTGTTTTTATTAATATAATAATCTATCTATCTATCTATCTATCTATCTATCTATCTATATATATATATATATATATATATATATATATATATATATATATATATATATATATATCAATCATCGGATAAAGAACAAATAGTACATAAATCTCAATCTAATATGTTTCACTTTATTAAAGCTTTGTCAAAGATTAAGATAGAAAACGAAGTTTTAATAAAGTGAAACCTGTTAGATTGAGGTTTATTTCCGACTTGTTCTTTATCTTATCATTTTGTCGGATTCCTATCAACACTTTATCTATATTTGATCTTTTACTCATATATATATATATATATATATATATATATAACAGTGTAGGCATAGTTATCATTACTGGCACTGGGTGGTGACTGTCTATTTCATTCTTAAATGCAATCGTTAGGCCCTCTGGGTCGAAGGGTAGTTCAACTATATATAGACAGTGAGACTGAGACAAACTGATTTTAACCTGTTCTCTTTCTAGTTGAATAATTCAAAGGATTTTTCAGTGATTCTTACAACAAATGGTGTCAAGATGGCTACACGTCTTATCTGAAAATCTGTAAAAAAATAAACTCAGTTAGTTTAGTAGTTTTTTTAAAATATTAAACATTTTGTGGGATGTATAATTATGTTGTTACACAATTTGTACAATGTTGCAGTTACACCCGGTGTGTATATATATATATATATATATATAAATTTGTGTATATATATATATATAAAGGTGTGTGTATATATATATAAATTTTTATCAATCTATTTTTATTCTTTTATCTTTGTATTGCACACACACACACACATATATATATATATGTTAAATATATATATATATATATATATATATATATATATATAATTATTATTTATAAAAAAATTATAACATAAGTATGTTATAAAATCACTACAAAAATAGCCATTTTGTTTCATCACACTCTGTGTCTTATCAAGTGATGATGTTGAAAATAAAATAAATGGTTTTAAACGTTTCAGATTAATTAACGATCCTACACTAGGGGGAAACATTGTTACAAAAGCTAGAATAACCAATCAAGAACCATGTATAGAAAGATTCAAAAGCTTGTCAACGAAATCATGTTATAATAGCTATTCAGATCTTTAAAATACGTGTAATATTAAAAATAATTCATACTAACCAATAATTATAAAATTATATGATAAAATTTAATATTAAAATTAAAAACTGGCAATTTTAAAATCCAAATTTAATCACTATTAAGTTTAAAAACTACAAAATTATTGAGAAAAGAAAAATGTTTATTCAATTCATTTCTTCATTGAAATTACGTTCGACAAGACGCTACAATATATCCGGTCATTTGACAATAC